AAAGAAATCTGAAAAAGTAAAAGTTTACTCCCAACCCCTTACCTGCCTTGAAAACACCAAAAACACCCTTCAAAATGCAGTTGAATGCTTACACTAAAGAATTATTCAGTTTTTCTGAGGGTCAGATTTAACTGGGAATCCTGTACTTTATTTGGCTAACCTTATCAAGGGGCCTAAGGAGGAGAAAAGAACCAGAATGGAATGTACTGGGGTTGGGGAGGTTGTTCTGGGAATAGAGCAGCTGCTATGAGTAAGAAATTGGGTATACAGATATGTAAAGAAAAATTTAGGACTTACTGCTTTGTGTTGTTCAATGTAATTGACCCTTTGCCACCTCCTCAAAAAAACTTAAAAGGTCTACATTACTCTAACAACAGCAAATGTAGACAGGAGACTACTTTGAGAAGTCTTCCCTTATCCATGCATCAATAAATATTTCCTCCTGTGGTGCCTTGGGACTTAGTACATTAGCACTCTGAACTGTGTCTGTAACCTCGAAGGGGCAGAGGTTAAGAAAGCGTTTCCTCTAATACTGCCAGCATCTAGAACAGTGGCTGACACAAATATCCCCTCAACACGAAATCTAAAAGCAACATCTAAGTCAACAGATCAATTAACCGTACTCTATTATTCAGCCTGGTAAAAACAAAGGAGCAACTTGAAGTTTGGAAAGGCATAAAACTGAAACATATACTTACTGTTTCAAAAGTATTCAATACCACCAAAGGGAAAAAAACGTTAATATAATCTTCACAATCTTGAAATCTGACAGGCACAGGTCTTGAGACAGACTGACAAAGACTTGCCGGGGACCCACGCTGATCAAAGTTCAGAAACATCTCATATTTCCATTTTAAGACTTCTTTAACGAAGGTGTCACAGATAGACTGTGATGAAAAGACAGTATTTACTGAAGCTGCTGCAAAAGCCCTGCTTTCACCAAATGGAAGCGTGTAACCTTGCCGGATAGAATTATTTGGAGTCTGAGAACGAAGAACATTGCACAAACTCTTCACTTCACCCACTGGTTTCTGAGATACCAGGGAAGCTGGCTGTGGTACTTTCAAAATAGGCTGCACCCCATTTGACTTATTTCTTAGAGCTGGTGGAAGTGCTGAACTATCTTCCAAAGACTTGGAAAGATTAGCAATTCGTGAAGTACTACTTGAGCTAAAAATCTTAGCAGTGGAACGTCTCAAAGGTTTAGATGTAGAAAGTGGCAAGCCAGGTTTACGAAACACATCTTCCTCGGCTGCTTTAGCTTCCGAGTGTCTTGAGCAGTATTCGCCCTGGTTTCTCAGGGTTTCAACACAACCTTTCTGCTTACACTTTGTGCCACTCACAGATTCCAACTGAGGCCGACTTACGGAATCTTCTTCCACCTGAACTGTATCTTTTCCATGAACTATGTCAATGAACCTTTCTGCTTACACTTTGTGCCACTCACAGATTCCAACCGAGGCCGACTTACGGAATCTTCTTCCACCTGAACTGTATCTTTTCCATGAACTATGTCAATGAATTCATCATTATCATTTACCATTTGTGAACATAAATCCATATCTTCAGGATCATTTTGTGTTAAAAATAAACTATCATCCTCTGCATCACTGTTGGACTCAGGCTCTCCCTCTTTCAAAGCTGCCACCTGCACCTGATGTACTGTTTGATCTCCTCCACCTAAAGGGTCCTTTGAAGTAGAGACAATTCGTTCATTCGTTGGTATTCCTCCATCTAACACTGTAGAATCACACTGGTTTAAAAGACAAGCATCATCAGTGACCTGACAAATGTATTTTGCTATTAAGGTTTCTGGTTCAGAAGGCATGCATTTTATTAATCGTTCTCCATTACTGTTGGCAAGTATCTCAGTTTCTCCTTTATAATTATGATCTGTCCTATCAGATTCTAGTAGAGTCTCTTCTAGTATAATTATGTCAGAATTCTGTGCTGTCTGTGGTGGCCCTACTCTTGTAGCACCTGTACCTTCACAATCAAAAAGTCCTTGTCTATTTTGTGACTTGGATTTCATCTGCCTTTGCAACTGAAGCTCTCGACTTGTTAGTAGTTTATTATTTTTGACAGAGAGTTTCTGAGGAGAAATTAATTTAGTTTTTTTTGGGGTATCAACTACTCCAACAGTTTTGCCATGATGACGTAATTGAACTATACACTCTAAAGATCGCTGGGACAATTCAAATGCCTTACGAGGAGCCTTTTTCAGACCAAGCTTCTCAGCTGTTGAAGTTGGTTCAGGGCACTGGCGAAATTTCTTTGGTGGCACTATAGCAGGAGTTGTCCTACAACTTATGTAACTTGAACTTTTATTCTGTCCTTTTTTGGTATCTGAATGTGTTTTCTTAGGAGTTTTAGAAAGCTGGACCTTCCTAATGGGTTTTGAGTAAGTACGAAGCTTTGGAGATTTCTTTGTTGAAACTGCAGTGGCTCTCTGAACACTTGAACTGGGAGTTGCAGTCTGTATGTCTACACTTTTAAGATCATTTTCAGTAAGCTCTCTCTCATTAAGAATATCAGACTGGTCCTCATTTCTGACAGAAGATGAAGGCCTTAGAGGATCTTTAGCAATAAGTTTTTCAAATCGTTTTCTTTTAGATTTTTTTACTTCAATTTCACAAAATTCATCAACGGAACTACTACTACTCCATGGTTCTGCATATTCTTCAACACCCTCTGCTACTTCTTTAATAACCTCTTCAGGTACATAATCTGTATCATAACCCAAATCATTTGTGCTATCGGCGATATGAGTCAAATACGAATTTTTTTCATCCTCTTGAAGTAAATTGTCTAGTTTATGATCATGCCAAACTGAAAACACTTCAGATGAACTTTCAAACTCAAAAAACTGAGAATCAGATTCCTCAAACTGCGAAAGAGACTTTGTCATTTCTTCCTTTATTAGTTTCTCTTCTACATTAGTATTAACTATTGAAGCATGCTGCTCTGGACATTCTTTCTCAGTGCATGTTTTGTCCCATTTCATGTGTTTCTCAAACCCTAGAATTCTTTCATCACTATCATCATCATCATCAGAATCTGAAATAACGATAATCTGTCCATGGCAGCTGTCTCCAACCTTATTTTGGTTTGCTATAAAACATCTTTCATCATCATCTACTTTTCTTTGTAGTTGGGATGAGCTTTTTTGAGTTGAATCTGATGGAAACTTAATAACACTGGCTTGAGCTATTAAAGATAATTTGTGGAGGTCTCTGTCTACCTGAGAATCTGTTAAGATGTCATACTTCGGGCTGATGCCAGCAGCCTGCTCACTTACCAAGTTAGAAGAAACTGGATCAGTACTCTTGTTCATTTCCTTATCTCTTAATTCAAGAAGAGTCACAGGATCTTTAAAGGGAGTTTTCTTCACTAGAGTATTGGTCATTTCTGTAAATGAGACCAAATCTTGATCATCAACATGACATTCCTGTATTTGACAACTGCTTTCATGGGAAGAGAAAGTATCTAACTCTTCATTCTTTAATTGTTTCTTTTTCACCAATAAACTGTTTTGAGATTTTTGTTCTTCATTTTTATTATCATTCAGAATACCATTACGGTCTAAAGACAGATTTTCTATGGAGCCGTCCCCTTTCTGAACTCCTGTATCTTTCCTTGAACAGAAACTCCCAATGTTAGACACAGTCAGATCTTCTTCTAAACTGATAGCGTTACTGACCAAAGTACTTTTCCTGTGTTGCTTCTTTATCACATGTGATAGCTTTGCACAAATTGTATCTTTCTGCGCCTTAGTTTTCAGTTTTGAAGTTTTACCAAGAGCATCGTCCTTTAAAGAGAAATCCTCGGTTGATGTGGACAATTTTTCCAGAGAATCAGTGCTACAATCAGTCAACAAATGTGTTGATACTATTACTCCTCTGTCACATCCCCTTCCTGGACCCTTTCTTGAAGTACAATTCTGTGGTGTATATGAGGAGTTCTCTTTAACAGACTTCTTCTGTGTATTTATTTTAATTTGATCTTGAGCTCTTTCAGTAAAAAGGCTTTTACTACTCTGCTTAAAGCATGACTCAGCTGAGGAATGATCTTCTGGTTTCAATTCCCTTATATAATTGTGCTTCTCATCCTCTTCTTCTAGAGTGTTGCTTGCTTTCATCAATATACTCCGTTGCACTTGATATGTGTCAGCTTTGATCGGATCTTTAGAAAATGTTGGGCTGGAATTTTCCGGACAATGCATTCCTTTTTTAAACTTCTTACCTATTTGTTCACTTTCCCCTTTATTATAAGATGCAGGAGGAGTTTTACATGCAGGAGTCAGATCCATAAAAGTGCTACACTGAGGTACTTTGAATTTTATGTTTCTAATAATTTGCTTTAAACAAGTTTGTAACTCATGGGTTTCCTGACTAGTCAACTGCCAACCTAGAGATAAATTTCCTCGAAGGAATAAGTTAAGCTTATCCCAGAATCGCTTACAAAGAGTTTGCTGCCCAAGCTGATAACCTTCTTTAAGGAGACTTCTAATCAACTGCACACAAGCAAGTTGTACAGAGTTAGATTGCACTGGATGCAACGACAGTGATGATATAATTGCTGTTCCTTTGGAGCAATTTCCTGATTTCTCAGAACTCCGTGCAAATGCAGTGGTAGGAAGCTTGGCACATTTTACAACAGCTTCTACCCATTGCTGAGAACTAACCCACAGCAAATGCAAACATTTTTTATTTCTATGCAATTCAATCACTGACACCAAAATCAAAAGGAAAAATTCAGTGACTTTGTCACACACAGCATCTGTTTGGTTGAGAACATCTTTGACTTCAGAATGCAGATGATGAATAACTTCTACTATATAAGCCACACCCAAATCCTTAAGATCCATGAGGGACTGAACAAAAGGTATGAACCACAGAAATGTGCTGTTATGAACACGCATGTCTTGACCAATATCTGACTGAAGTACACTGGCTAATGTTTCCATTTCTTCATACATGTTAGGACAATAATCTGGACAAATGGCTGATCTCCACCCTGAATCCTAAAATGAAAGAAATACTGACATGAGATAAATAAGCAGCATTTAAGACAGGTTTAACACCCAAGTTGTAAGAAATAAAACATACTTCTCAACTTTCCTATTTTTGTTTACTATATATTAGTTTTAATATATATAACCCCCAAGAAATTGAAAACAAGTTGAATTTTGAGGTTAAAGTTTCATGAAAAGGCAAATTTACACCACTTTCATGTACTCTGGCCTTCTTTCCATTAGCTGGTTCTGATTTCTAGTCGTGTCACATACCCTCCCCTACTTAGTCAACTATCAAACTAGAGGTTAAACTTTCCATCTTCCCTAAATGCAATTACAAATTAATTTTCCAAAGTGTGCACAATGTAGTTAGAAATCCATTTTTCCCCATGCATAGTACATCTGTTCAATCTGAAAGCCTTTATGTAGCAGTTGGTTCAAAATAGCTAACATATCATAAAATCAGTAATTCAACTACTTATGTCTATACAATATAGAGGCAATATAAAATCATCTGAATTTTCAAAGTATTTTATACCTTTTTGGTTTTTTCAGGATTATAATTGTATACAATCTGGCTGCAAGTCACCATATCATCCAAATATGACACTGGTTCTGACTTGGTCCTTAAATATTAAGAATAGATAGAAATTACTAAAAAGAAGAAAAAAATGAAAAACAAAAAAACAAGACAAAAATAACCTTCTTGTTAAGTCAGTTGCAACAGACTTCCTTACAGAGATTACTCTTAAATCCTGACATTAACTGAACTAACCTTACAGAGCTGTTCCGTATATTCTGGATCTCTCTGTTATAGCTCACATTGTTGATAATGGTTTGAAATGCCTCAACAGGATCAATAAGTTGACCCCAGACCTTAGATCCAAGGCGATCCAGAATCACCATGAAGCAATGTAATGCTGGCCAGAAAGGATCCATACTATCATCTGAAATACAATGAAGCAACTGCAGAATTACAAAATAATTAGAAAAATATACTAAAATCTATTGAGAAGTAAGCATTCTTTATCTGGTTAGCAACAAAAATGAAAGCAAAGCAGCATGTAACAAAGTAAAGTGCCACTGATATTTGGAGAAACAGGTTTTAAAAACTGCCAAATTTTCAAAAAAAATTTTAAGCAATACTATGACACCTCTGTAAAAAGAAAGTTTAGTGGGAAACAAGCTGTTTAATGAGCAACAAAACCGTCTAGGTAAACACAACCTTCTCACCCTGTTTGCCACACTTACTCAGTTCCTCAACCCCTCCTAGAACTCTATAGTCCTATCATCCAATAAATAACAGAAAAGTTTTAGAAGGGAAAAAAGGAAAGAGAAACTTAGTATTTACAGATCTAAATAAGGGCCATGATAAAAGAAATTATGCTTCAGCATGATCCTATGTTTTGTGTGCCAGGCAGCTAGTGTAAAGGACTGAATCCCTTAGCTAATAGGTAAGCAAAGATACACACCTTTCATCCATTCATATCTCAACATGGCTTTGTTATCTACTTTCTATCCAATTTGAAGGAATTCCTCTTAGTCATAAGCTCTCTAGCCCTTTCCCTCCTTCTCCTTTATCAGACATGCAGTGGCAAGGTACTGTCCTACTCAAAGACCTCCAATAGCTCCTTAATGTGTTCCAAGAAAATTCAAAGTCCTCAGTTAAGCACTTACAAGATCTTGCTCTAGTATTTCTTTCCAGCTTTATTTTTCTTTTTTTTTTTTTAAAAAAAAGATGACCGGTAAGGGGATCTTAACCCTCGACTTGGTGTTCTTTTTCTTTTTTTTTTTTTTAAAAAAAAGATGACCGGTAAGGGGATCTTAACCCTTGACTTGGTGTTGTCAGCACCACGCTCACCCAGTGAGCTAACCGGCCATCCCTATATGGGATCCGATCCCGCGGCCTTGGTGTTATCAGCACCACACTCTCCCGAGTGAGCCACGGGCCAGCCCAACCAGCTTTATTTTTCATACTACAATAATCATACACTATCTTCAGCAAAAACAGATCACTGGCTTTTTCCCAAATAAGCACCAGAATGCCTTTACTATTATAACACCACCTGTCAAAATCTTATCTATCCATTCTTAAAAGTCTGGCTTAGATGTTTCTTCCTGCATTAAACATCCCCCCGCCATTTAATCTTCTGCAGTATCCTTCTGAGGCAAGTGCTCTAACTCACTCAAGTTACTGTTGTTTAGTCACCCTAGAAGCTGAACCTGCTCCTTTACTTCCCTTAAACCTCTCAGATTCTTTTTTATCACAGTCATTGTGTAAACCTTCATCATATATTTTTGTATGTTTCACTGCAGCTGAAACAATGCCTTATATTTAATAAGCTCTCAAGTAAGGAAGAAAGTAGTTTGGTGAAGACAATTATGAAAGGTTTCTTAAAGAGGACTCACATTTTGAAGAAGAGGGAGGTGAATTAACAGAAAAACAATTATATGTGCAGTTAGGCACAGGGAAAGAAAAGAACAATTCATACAGTAAATGCTATCAAATGAATTAGTAATAGTCTTAAACAGGAATATTCTAGCAAGAAAATATATGCCATCAAAAAAAGAATGACATTAATACATTCCTTTTAGAATCTCACACAAGTAAGTTTATATCCACAGTAAAGTTGCCTGAAGAAAAGTGAATGAGGGAGAAAAATTATATTCATTATGTTTTCATATGCTTCATCTTTACTGATTCATTCCTGAATAAAGAAGGTAAGATCAGAAACATTTAAGTACAGATCCTCCATAATTAGCTTGATACAACTATCAGCAAAAGAAGGTCTGGGTCTAATAAACATAACTACAAGTTTAGGCCTCACTTTCTAGACTACCTAGAGCAGCACTGTCCAAGAGAATTTTCTGTGATGATGGAAATGTTCTGTATTTGCACTGTTTGATACAGTAGCCACCAGGCACATGTGGCTATTGAGCCTTGAAATATGGCTAGGGAGACTGAAAAACTGAACTTTTAAATAAACTTAAATAACCACATGTGGCAGGCAGTTGCCATGTCGAACCTTAGAAAATCATGGAGAAGTGAAGAGGCAGGCAAAGGGAGACCATGGGACAAGGAGGCTTTCCCCACGTTGTTGTTAGAAATGGGTCTCCCAGAGGTTCTCATTCTACCACTAACTTTTTCAGCATGAAAAAGTAGGTTAACTTCCCTGGGCTTCATTCAGTCCCTTATTCTATAAAAGTAAGGTACTGAATTAATTAAACTCTAAAGGTTCTTTCCGATTTGAAAGTCTGAATCTGTGACCTAAACATAAAAAGTTAACTCTTCTCTTCTACACACCCCGCCTCCCAATTCTTGCAGTTAAGAGTGCACCATCATCACAGTACTCAAAAACATTTAGCAAATAAGGTTTATTACCATTTGATTGTCTCTCCATGGTGTGAAGTATTGATTGCATAAAATCATTTTGTTTGTCTGATCCCAACAACAGTGAATCCATGGCTTGCTCCTCAAGAATGGTCAGCAACATACAAATACCTGTAAGATCATTTGCAGTTTTCTTGAAATAACACTATTCTAATGACTTCTCTGGCTTAGTTGACAAAAGAAAAACAAGGCAGGAAGATGAAGCAAAACAGTATCCAGTTCCTCAAAAATTTATATATAACTGCTGCCAAGTACTAGAATTGATTTAAGTGTAAAAGGGGAAAATGGCACTAGCTTGGTAGGAACACAATTTCTAAGATGACTACCACATAACATATATTTTGTCACTCTAAAATGCCTTCAATTTTAAGATATACTCTATTTAATATGCCACTAAGAAAGAAAAGAAATCACTGCCAATTATGACATGTGACCTTAAGACGTGGATCAATGAAATAGGGTAGAATGATTTTGAGTCAGTATAGAACTTATAAATAATGCTAATCTCTCTCTCTACCGAGAAATATTTTACACATTGGAAGAAAAGAATTAATGATAAAACCCTATTAAAGTCAACTACTATACTAATATTTTGTTAATCTGGCATTGTTTTAAACAAAAGACTCATAATGCACATCTTATACAGAAGGTTTCTAGGATAAATAACATCTAATAATAAGATATGTGCTGGTTGAACCAATTTAATGACAGAACAAGAACTAGGAATTATGAAATCCTATATTTAGCAATTTTGATCTCATCGCCAAAAGACATCACTTCCTTTTCAGGACACTCATTAGAACTACAGAAGATACTAATTATATCAGTGTAGGAAAAATACTCACCTAACCAATAGTTTTTGTAGTTGGTAGTATCATACATGTGTGAAGGCAGAAGAATCAATTTACCCTTCTCAAGGACAGAAGAAGTATAAATGTCTGGACTTTCTAAAAGCCCCAGTTCAATGACTTTAAAAAGGCAAGTTAAAACCTCCTGTAAGTCATAATAATCATCTCTGTCCACTTTTCCCAAGTTTCTTGCAGTCAGGATAGCCCAACGCCGAACCTAAATGCATAACATGTTTATTACTTCATTCAACAATCAATGGTCTACATACAGCAATAACATGGATAAGCAAATAGGATTCTCTACAGATTTTAAAAAACACATTAAGAGATACTAATTAACACAACGTAGGGACCTTATTTGATCCTGATTTGAACTGACCCTAATAAACCGTTTGAGACAATCATTTCCATTCATTTCAGCACTGACTGGAAATATGGTATTAAGGAATTATTATTTTAGATGTGATAGTATTATTGTTTTGTTTTGTTAAAAGGTTGTTATCTTTTAGAAACACATATTGAAATATGTTATGGATGAAATGCTCTGATACCTAAGATTTGCTCTAAACTAATCCAAAGGGGAGTAGAAGGTTAACAATGCATTGATAATTGATAAAGCTAACTGATGGATATACGGGGGTTTCATTATACTATTCTCCCTACTTTTGTATGTTTGTAATTTTCCATAATAGAATATTTTAAAAAAGGAAAGAAAACATAAAGAGGAATCTCAAAAGAAATGAAAGGCCACTTCTACATGGCAGTATAAGCATAGGGACGTTATTTAAAATTCCTTGGGGGCTACAAATTAAATTTAGTGAGGGCAACCAGCCTTAAAAAAAGCTAAACAGAACAGAAAAATATCAGAGTGCATTCTTCATAGTAAAAGTAATGTTTTCTAAATGTTTTACATTATACGAGGATACTTCAAAAAGTTCATGGAAAAATAGAAAAGATAACACAAATCTTTCCACAAACTTTTTGAAGTACCTTCATATATGCATACCTATGTGTGCACTCCATGAAAATATGTTTTACTATAGGTTATAATCAAAAAAGTTTGAAAAACATAAACCAAATGAATAAAAGCATGAGCTCTATGCCAACATAACTGATGAATTATAAACTATTAGAAAAAACACAGGAAGCCATGAGTGTATACTAATAATAAATTGACAAATAACCAGAAAAGGAAAAGGCTCTTGATTGCAATACAGTGTCAAGTGCTGCCTGCTTAATGTGGAGAGAGTACTGGAGTTGGAAAATTACAAATTTGTAGTCACAGAAAAGCTGGTTCAGGCAAGAAGCATCAGTGAATGCTAAATTTAGAAGAAAATTTTGACGAGAAGCAGGATATTACATGGTCTTAAAGTATCTAAAAAATATATAAATTATACAGTGGAGAAAGTAGACAACATCTTGTCTAGATAACATTAACATCACCAAGAGCAAAGAACATGAAGTGACTCTTATGTATGACATCCTGAGGAGGACATAACATCACTTACATAGTGCTCCAGTTGGGAATGTTTAACTTGAACCTATCCACAAGGAAATAACAGACAAACTCAAAACAAGGAGCACTCCATTTTTCAAAGAGGCAGAAGGAGAGGGCCGGCCCGGTGGCACACTGCTACAGTGCGCTGCTTGGGAGCGTGGCAGCGCTCCCGCCGAGGGTTCGGATCCCACATACAGACCGGCTGCTCACGGGCTGAGCGAGGTGCGGGCGCAACACCGAGAGTTGCGATCCGTTGCCGGTCACGAAAAAAGACAAAAAGGGGAAAAAAAAAAAAGGGGCAGGGGGAGAAATGACTGTATTTTTTAAAAAAGAAGTTGTCGTAAAAGACAAAAAACTTCCAGATTAAAGTGACATGACAACTAAATGCAAGACCTTTTATCAACAATAATAAGA